AATGATCGTCAGATCGTCGGCATATGCTGTCACGACACAGTCGACTCCTTCAATTGTTCTCAGGCTCTCTATTAGGCGGGTGATACAAGCCGTGAAAATCAAGGGCCCTAACCGACTCCCTTGAGGGACTCCCACCTGAAGGGCTATTGACGCACCGTGGACTCCGAATTCAGTAGTGACGCTCTGGTTCTCCAGATAGCTTCGTATGAAGCTGACCAAATATTCCGAAGTTCCCAGCGATACGAGGGTCTTAATTATATAGTCGTGTCGAAGGCAATTAAACGCATTCTGTATGTCTAGACAAGTAGCCACGACGTGTCCTCGATGCATTGCTGATCGGTAGTTTTTACAGATGCGATGCACGGCCTGATCGCTGGATTTAGACCGAACAAACCCGAAGATCTCGGGACAGTGCAGTGCTGAGGCAATTTCGTGGTATATTCGGTCTGCTATCACCCCCTCCAGCAGCTTGCTGACGCAAGACTGTAGGACTACGGGCCTCCACGAATTGGCTTTTCTGGGGTCTCGACGGGGTTTCGGAAGAAGCAAGCATCTGCCTCGTTTGAATTCCTTGGGATGCCGGCGCTCGTTCAAGAGTTCTGTAAATGTGCGCGCCCAGGTCTCCTTCAAGGTTGGGAGTGTTTGCCGAAGGGTCTCGTTCGTTATGTCGTCATATCCCGGTGCCCCGTTACGGAGACGGCGGGCTACCTGGTCAAGTTCGTACGTAGTTACTTGGGGTACATCTCTTAGTGGACCAACTTTTTTAATACGCGATAACAATCGGTGGCCACCTTCAAATCTCGGGAACAGCTTCTCGAGAATAAAAGCCGCTGTATTATCGCCGGCAGGACAGCCTTCTAATTGCGATGGTACGGTGGAAAGTCGCGCTGGACGGACTAACTTGCAGTAGTCCGCTTGCCCGGCGAAAAACCTCTGGCGAGCTCGACTCTTCGCATTGCTGATCTCTGTTCTATAAGCTGCGCGTTGCACTTTTAACTCCTGCTCCAGCTCCTCTCGGAGCCCTCCGCGTAGGAAGCAGCGGTGAACTCGCCTTTGCAATCGCTTCAACTGCGGCTTCATTCCTTCAAGCTTCGATGACCACCATCCAGGCTTGAGTCTACATGGGAGTTTCGGGGTACTCTCCCTAACGGCCCTGGATAACTCCGCTGCCACCTCAACTACCGTTGCCGTTGGATTTCTAGCCGTGAACGAGCTCATGGAGTTTCTGACTTGGCCTATATCAGTGAGCCTGTGAGCTAGACGCTGTGCAGTAGTGATCTGTAGTCTCATCCTCGCGATCACTAGTCTGTGATCACTCCCAGACTCCTCCGAGCTCACCTCCCAATCGACTGGTCTGTCCCAATTCCGGACAGCTGTGATGTCTTGTTATAGAGTCAATGATATGTCGTGTATTGCGGTGCATAGATTATTGTGGCGCGCGCAGTACGTCTTTGCATTAGCTATATACTAATACTATGACTCTTTCCCCACCACATATACAGTGGTAGTGTTAGCCTTAGTGGTTACAACATCCTGGTACTGGAACCGAGAACGTCTAATATAAGACCATATCTACTGTAATGAATGG